CAACCCTAACTATTCTATGACTCTATGATGCTATGAAAGGTACCTCTAATATCTTTGCACAGAATGACCTACAGTGCAGACATGCCCTTACAGAAAAGAAGCGCTTTTTTGCCTTCTTTGATGCTACAGCAAATCTATACATCAGAATCAAACATCTATACAGCAAAGAATTTCTGGCAGTATGGCTGAGCAGAAATGCACCTAATCACTCTCATACATTTTATGGGATCATTTTTATGACTCACACCAGTTTTATTGCAACATGACCTTCAGTGACATTTGTTCTTTAAAATTTCATTTGCAGGAGAACTGCCATGGCGAAAAGCCTGAGTGGAAAGGGATGAATGGTTTTACTGAACCCCAGGTGTGACTGCATTCTACAAAGGAAATTTCAACTTGCTAAAAGAGCTTATTAGGCAAATAACTAAAACAATGTGTTAAAACCCTTGAAGACATGGAATCAGTCTTGCAGCTGAGGGACCTAGAAGGCATTACTTCCAAGTCATGCATCATTTAAAATCATCATCTCTTAAAATCAATTCAAGTGTCCCGAGTGACACTTGAAGCTACTGAAACCTTAACTAACTGAAAAGGAGATGGGGATCCTGACAGGTGTTCTACTTTAAAAAGCCATTATTTCCTTCTGGTTTTCTGCAGAAACAGATCTGTGACAATCACAGTGTCATTTCATCCTCAGACAGTCTGGAGATCTTTTCTCCAGATCTGGAGTAAAATTCATCCTGATGAAGAGGGCTGATACAGGGTAAGATGATAAGCTACTCAGTTCCATGCTTTCAGAGAATGCTGCCATCACACCGAGGCCCTGAAATGAGGGTCAAATAAGTCACTAGTGATGAATCTTAAGCAGCTCCCATCTGGTAACCAGATTTTCTAAAGAGTTTCAGAACCCTTTTGAAAAATTAGCCACTTGATCTGAAAGAGTAGCTTATTCTGAAGAATCAAATGGCACTTAAATTGTATGGAGTTCTTGTGCTAGTCTTCTGCAAAGGGAAAGAAGGCACAGAGAGTTTGAAAAATGACACAGACTGAAACCACCTTCAAAAATGTTACCTCTAGGAAACACTTCTGTTGAAGTAAAGGCTGTTAGGTAGATGTGTCATTACATTTGACAGTAAAAATTAGCATTAAAGCTTAATGTAGGTATTTCCAAACTAAACTCAAATCTGGTCTCCTTAGCCCACCTCAAAACAGCCTCCTAAGGTAATGCTAAATGGATCCACAAGCTGCCCGCTGTCACTATACAGGGTTTCCTTAATTTCCAGGTATAACAATTTATCCAAGAGTGCAGTTCTTAGTTAGGGGCCATTTAAATTTAACTGCTCACTCCATTTACTCACTGCAACCGATGCTAGTTCTAGAAGCATCATCAGCAGATGAGCAAGTGAAGTTTCTGTCTGTATTTGTGCAGGTTACGTTCTCTCCACAGGTGTGGAACCTCATCTTGCACTCATCAATATCTGTCACCCAAACAGTCTGCAGTTAGAAGAACAAAATGCCTCAGAGCATCAGTTAAAAGGGCAGCAGCTGCAGCATTACAGTCTCGTGGCGTTGGGGGAAACATTAAAGACCTTCCTGCTGCACATGTAAATGTAACAGAAAAGCAACCAACATATTTCCTATGTCAAGATCACAGCCTCTCCAGCCTCTCAGAGCATGCTATGCTGCTGCAGAAGCTCTCCACAGGGAGAAGGAAGGAAAGGCTTCCCCGTAAACTGTAATAATTACAGTAGAGTTGAAGAGAAGACTTAATCTGCACCAGATATATTCTCCTGGCATTGCTAGTCATAGCTGGCACCCCAGATGAGTACTAGAGCACTGTCAGTTGACATTCTTGCATTGAGACAGCAGAAGGGTTTGGGAGTGGAAAGTTGCACTTTTAAAAGCAAAAATATGGGAACAAAACTGTTTCAGCATATTCAAAAAAATGTGATTTCAACAACACAATATGAACTTATCTTGTACCATCTCTGGATGTACTGACACATCTCTGCACACTGTGTATGCAATGCAGGTGTCTAAAACTGAAGTACTAAATCACTTTCCAGTTTCTGGGGTTTATAGTATATTTCAAGTCATCAAGCTTGAAAAAACAGAATTAGTTTCAATTCTATTTACATCATAACAATATTACATCTTTTATAAAATGCTGTGAAAACATATCTTACCATATTCTGGACTTAAGGGCTTCAGGAAGATGATGGACTGGTTTTGAATAGTAATGACCAGTACCACAATCATTTTGAGTAATTACAGCACAGACAGTGAGAGCCCAGGGCTGCCTGAGGACATGCCTTGTAGGTGGTGCCGGACAGCAAGAGAAGTTTGTCACTTCTGTCTGCACTTGCAAACATCCTCAAAGACATGAGCTCTGGATCTCTGACCACTGTAGGCAGAATGCATTCTTGAATCTCCTGCCTCTGATACTTTTCACACCCTGCTCATGATAATGATACTGTTCTGAATTTTTCAGTCATCCTTATCTGTGTCAAAGAACAAAAGTCCAGTAAAGACTATGTAAAAATTGGGTCACATTTAATGGGCTTTGAATTAAGCTATAAAGGAAAAAAGAAAGAGAAAAGAATGAGAGAAGCCAAGACTCTCATAAAGCTCTGAACAAACTGTATGCTTGTCAAATACTGGGGACAAAGCATCCTGTTCCTTGATACTTACAGCTAAAATAGATTAAAACATTACAAAATATACTGAATGAACTGAAGACCTGTCATTAGAGCTGGATGGAAAAAATCAGTGTGTCTGATTATTAACAAGTCTCTAAATGTACTCAAGTTATCAGTGTCACACCTTGAACCTCATGCCTATTAAACAGACCTGGAATTATTTGATGAGTATTATGACACACTCAATACCTGCTTTCGTTTATATTCATGGCAACGATTTCCAATAAAGCTCTACTGCTTCACCTCCACTTCTCTCCTCCCCTTCATTCTTCCTCTCTCTTCTGCTATAGCTACTAAAAAGAGTGCAAACACTGAGAGGAGGTATCCACTGACAACTACAGGCTTTGCATATTGATCAGTTGCTGAGGTTGCCACAGTTGAGACAAGAAGGAAAGAATCAAAAAGTAAGAAATTATGAATGTCTAGAGGAGTCTAGAATCATGCCCCTATCAGGTTTTTCAAAAAGAAGCAGAACAGCTTGTATGACAGCTTCACAGCTTGATGGAAGGCTAGCACAAATCATAAGACATGTCATTTTCTCATTCATCCTGCCCCAGCGTTCCAGACACAGCACAGTCCTCACACATGTCCATACCATGGCAATGGACTCCATCTCCAGTGTAGCCCTCCAGGCATTTACAGACGTAGCCCCCTTCTGTATTGATACAGACTGAAACATTGCGATTACAGTGGTCCATATTTAAGGCACACTCATCAACATCTGTGAGACAAAACAGGGAGGCGGGACACATGGGTCAGGAAACCATAAGGTAAGTCGATAAAAAGAAATGTCTACATCATGAATCTCCCTCAGGCTATGCTGTTACTTATCATTTATGCAACTGAAGCAAATGGGAAGACAAGGGCTTCTCTTGGTATGAAATTTAATGAGGATGTTCTGAAGAGCCTGACAGTCAATCAGCCACTTTCAACTAGAAATCTAGAGGTTCCACAAATACCACTTTTGTAAAAAAAAATACCATTTGGAGGGAATGACCCTATTCAAAACTAGTCTTATATTCTAAACCACTACTTAGAGAGAAACTTTGTTCTGAGAAAGAACACATAAGCTTAAAAAAGATAAAAAAGTACCACAATGAAAAAAAAATTATACCTATTTAACCTTCCTTTTTTTTTTCTCCTTTCCATAGCAATATAGACTCCTTTGAGTCTCCATGTTTAGACACCAAATGGTAAATTGTTCTGTTTCTAATGCCTTCCTGTCTTGGCCTTTATGGGAGAACAAAGTGCTTCCATTTATGTAATATGCAAGTCAAAAAACTTGAAGACCACTCTAAGCCACATGTTGTCTGATTATTAGAGTACCTTTCTGGTGCTAGAAAGGAACAAGAACAGCACTTTTATATAAATGTTACATCAGGAATACTAATTTTAGGAGATTCCTTACTACATACTTCTAAATTATACATCAACTATCATGTCTATGGACTGAGCTTTTATTATTAGGCAGTTTTTACAAATAAATACATTACACTTTTATTCTCATTATCCCCATTATTACTTGTTAATAGGATTAATATGAACTCAGGGGAAATAAAGCATGTGATAATTAGCCATTCCATCTCACATGCTTTCTACTCATCATTCCTTTCAAAACAGGCAGTACCATTGACCTTTCTGTGAGGGCTCATGCAGAAGAGCTGCCAATGTGAAAAAAGATTTTCTTCCTCTCCCTCAGTCAACAGTTTTCCAGAAGGTTATATTAATATATTTTGTTACCATAGCATGATTTCCCCTTCCTGGTAAATCCTTTCAAACACTGGCACGTGGCACCATCTTCCAGCAAAACACACTCTGCATTGATATAACATTCAAGTGCTGAGCAATCATCTTGATCTACCGCATAAACAAAACGAAAAAAACACCAATAGATGCATGAGGACAGATCAAAGAATGTACTGTATAAACATTATTAAAAAAGAAATCAAAACCAAACTACCCCCCCCAAAAAAAAAAGAAACAAAACACAAAACCACCAAAAAAACACCAAAAGCAACAAACAAAAAACAAACCAATGAACCAAAAAACTAAGAAAACCTGAACATACAAAGTTTGAAACTTGGCTTTCTAGGGTTAATGATGACAAGTCAGTACAATCATTAGGGCTGTTGTCTTTGTCTAGATAGAGCTGAAATATCATTTAGTATCAAGATTTCTGAATACTGTATACAAAACCTATTGTATAATTTAATGGTCTAGTGTTGTGAAACATAGGAGGAATACAGTGGTTTTACTGAGATTTTGTTCTGAGGAACTTTATATATTCACAAACTCTAAGGGAGAGACTTTCACAAGTGTTTCAAATTAGAAATGTTTGTTCTCTAGACCTGGATAATATCAAGTTCTGTTGAAGGAACATGGAGAGAAACAGACCAGAAAGCTGTCCTACCTGGCATAATTGCATAGACCCAACTTCTTGTAGGAGGGTTAAGAGCATGAATGCCACAGTCTTGACACTGAGCCTTTCTTCCTTTAGGGCCTATGATTTTTTTCTGTTCTATAAACCTATTCAGAGCCTCACAGTAAATAGAAGTAAGAAATCAGATTCTACCTGATACCATGATTTCAGCCATCAAAAAAAAGCCGATGTTCTGCCTTTCCCCACTGTCTGTATTCTTGAATATCCCACTGTTTTGTGTTCTCCGGAGCAAGGTCTCTGGCCCTGACATTGGCACTACCTCCTTGTGCACAGAGACACTTCCTAAAAAGACAAGAAAAAAGTGACACAAACCGTTGAAATCTATTGACCTAACTTTCGATTTTCCTCACTTGTCTACTTTGCAATAACCATAGTAATTTCTTTTTAAAATAAACATCAGTATCCTTCCAGACTAGCCTGTTTCTGGCCTCAATTTATTCCTGAAACCACTTGCTGGTGGGTTTTCGCAAATAAAAAAGACAAGGAATGCAACTCATTGCTCACAATACTTGGCAGCACTGCACACATCTCTTACTGCTAATATGCCAAGGGAAAAATTACAATGGTCAGACAACATGTTATTGTCCCAAGTCAACACCGCAGTGTTTTCACTCTTCAGAGAAGCCATCATTTGTTATGTAGGTCAAGGTGAATATTTTTCAATCCTGTCAGGATCTTCAAGGGTTTGGGGAGGAGGGAGGAGTGTCTTTTTATTTTGGAACTGGAGGAATGTACCTGCTGTTGTGTTGGAAGCATCCAGAGCATGACAGGTTTTTCCATCTGGAGTTTTCTCAAATCCTGGATGGCACATGCAACGGGCAACTCCAAAATTGTTTTCACAGATCTGATCACAGCCTCCATTCTCATAAAGGCAAGGATTTGCCCCTAATGCAGAAAAACAAGTTACTTAACAAGCTGCTGCTTCTCTCAGCATCTCCTTTTTACTGGGCAGAGTTGAAGCAGTTGGAGAAAGAGTAAGGACTGACAAAAATGAGGTGGTTTTTTTTTTTGATTAAAAAAAGATGATATAGTAAAGCATAAATGTTCTCACTTAGCCTATGGCAGGAAGCAGATTCACATACTCTAATAAATACATCATTTTTTTCTTTAATTTACTGTGATATTTCTCCTTTAATATTAAAAGTCCTGACATTCCCTGAAAGAACATTGCAAGGGCATAGGGAACCTGTGATTACCTTCTCTCAATCCTGGCCTATTGAATTACGGTTTTCTGTTTACAGGGAGATTGCTCCAAACAGAAAATCAAATTATTTGATCCAAAACTAATAAATCTTACAAAATCTTTCTCCATGTCATTTGTTATTATTTGTATGTGTGAGGGGTGCTAATAAATGAGGATAAATAGGAATTAGAAGACTATGTTAGCCTAGTGGCAATTGATCAGCACCTATTCTTGGGCACGATCATAAATATACAAGATCAGTTAGCATTCCTGGGACACATGCCCAGATGACGCTTTCAATACATGCCAGTCCTACTATGCAACGTCTTTTAAAGCACCTATTTCTGAGAAGATAATCCTCTCCCCAAGGACATGTATTCTACTGATATCAGTGAACAAGAGGAGGCTGGAAGGGAATGACTGCATAATTTTTGCAGTATACCTGGTTTCGCCAAAGGATGAACTACAACCATTGATGAGGGTCTCAGCATGCTGCCTCGAAGACGTACCCTGTTTTGGCCGGTCTTCTTGTCCACCCTCATTAGTGATGGCCTAGCCCAGTCAGAAAACCAAAGATGATCCTCAAACACTGCTACATCAAAAGGGTGGCCTACAAAGAAATCAGATTTCTCATTTCCACAGCTGTAGAACACACACAAGAAATCATGTAAACAAAAGCAGTATCTGCATACAGGTCTACTTCTGACACAGTGGCATAGCCATAGCCACTTCTCCACTTTGATGTCTCATGGGGAGGGATAAGTGTCCATGAATGATGGACCATGTGCACATGTTACTTTTGTTCTTAGTCGAGGAGGCTATGACACTTGCCTGGCTCAGTACAATCTCTATACTCCTGTCGACCTCCAACCAGATCAAGTTCACAAGATGCTTCTACCTCAGACTCATCATTTCTTGAAGCAGCATTGGAACCAGCCTTGCAGAAGTGGAGTGGCTCGCTCCTCTGCCAGTAAGTGGCCCAGCACAGAGTTGCTGAGGTACACAGCTCCTTTTGCAGTCTTCACATAGCAGCGAGAAGAGGAGCTCATGGCATGTATCGTCCTGCAAAAGTGTACCAGCACAGGGCAGCCTGGGAGCTACACACACTATAGCCACTGACTCATGGTAGGACCCCAAAGCCACTGTGTGATCTCTGCAAGTGCCAGAAGTACACACAAGTGCAATATAGTAGTCCACAAGTATATATAAACATGCACAGACATTCACTAGCCAATTCTTCACAGTCCAATATTCAAGAGGGGAGTCAATTTTCCTCATTTCAGCCAACTAGCAGCAGTAGGCTGTGACTAGTTAGCTCTTGTCTGTTAGCCAACTAACTAACAGTAACAGCTAATGTAATCCACAGAATGCAATAGGGCATTCAAGTAGCTTCCTTTCTTCACACTGCTTATAACAGGAACCTCGGAGAAGAAGTATGTGTTGGTATATCTTAAATACACATCACAAACAAACTGAAAAAGCCCACTCCTACATGAGAAGAATTCCACAACACTCTTTGAATGTCTCCACTTGTCTTCAACTGTTAAATTGAAGAGCATATTGTTATTCTGTTAGCACTTCACTACCTCCACTGAACCATGCTTGGTGGAGTGTGGTTCTTAGTTTTTCTTTCTGTGAAATTTGAGCAGCTAGCCCAAGATCTAGATACTGTCCCCATCCTCACAATTTTAGGATCTATAGCATGCACTATCAACAAAAAAAAACCCCACCCACTTTGATAAGCAATTCCTTAACATCTTAACTTAGAAATATATTAAGGATTAAAAACAGAAGTGTAGTGTCATCGATGGAGATAGTAGGATCAGGAAAATAAATAACCACATGAATCCTTTCTTGCAAGAGTGCAAACTCAACCCACTGCATCAACAAAAGGAGCAGTTGTGTTGGTCACTACCTTAGGTGGGTTGTTACAGGCTGTTTTACTTACAGCTAAAAACAGGGTTAGTGAAAGGGCAGGAATAATTTTAACTATTTTGCATGCAGCTGTACTGAATGAATTCTCAGTACCGGGGCACTAGAGGGAGCTGCTGTGATTAAAAAAATAAATCATCTTAAATGCCTGTGAAGGGATACCACCTCCCCGTCCTTCAGTGCACAGCTGTCCAAGGACAGAAGCTGAATTCTGGTCTCACTGACAGCATTGGCAAAACATCAGGATATCAAGTCTCCCTGCCTTTCTAAATTAATACCCCTACAGGTCTGTATTTTCATTCTTTCCATACAGGTGTTGATGTCCTTTTCTCCCATTTCCAAACAGCCATATCACTGCTCCAAGACCATCTCCTTTCCTACACCCTGTGTTTCTCCAGTGTTCCTAGCTCTTTTCCTCTGTCTTTTCCCCATATGACACTGTCTCATTCCTTGTGGAGGAAAACAGTGAAACTTTCAACAGGCTTCAGGGTCCTCCTTTGCACCTCAGTTTCAAGGTGAGCATAGAGCAGAATATGCACAGCAGGGGAAAAGACAGGAATCCTGGGAAGTCACTCTGCCCAGGCCTTTTGATGTCTTATGAACTGCAGAACACTACTTGCTTCAAGACTTCACTCTGCTCAGCTTCAAACAAGTAGGAGGGTATCTGGCTTAGGAGATGAATGCAAACCTTCCCAGAGCACAGACTAGAGCAGCAGCTGCTTAACAGAGTAATCGTAAAATCTTTACGCATAGCAATCATGATACTGAGCCAAGAGTCCTCATTCTGCCTATGTCTTGTATACACACTAACAAAATGGTCCACAGAAGGATATCATGCACAAAGGGAATTGTCCTCTCCAGAAACTAATTTACCATGTACAAGATTCTTACACATGGTTTACTTTAGATGTGATACAGCATCAGTTCCTCATTGTTAATACTTCTGCTTTCTTACTCCAGAAAAACACAGATACTTGTCACAAATAGAAATTTCAGCCATAACAACTACCAGCATATTGCATAAATCAATTTTCCATTCAGTGTCTATTGTGTATTTAGAGCCATCTCAGGGTTCAACACTGTGAAGATGCAGGTTTGTTGTTCAAAGACCTTAATAGTCAAGACTAATTTTCTTCCAGCTTATGTAAGTATAACTCACTGTATAACAAACACAGCAAAACGTGAATTACACTAAGCTGCCATGCATGGAACAAGTGAACCGCATTTAAAATTTTCTTTCCATTTTACTGTGAAGGCAGAAAAGTTGTCTGTAGAACGCAAAGTGGCTGATTAGTAAAAGCAAAGAGTGTTAGAAAAGTGTCCTTTTGCTAAAATGAATAGAAGTCAACTAGGTTACAGAATGAAGAACTAATTGGTGCCATTAACCTCAACACAGAGTTGCGTGGGATATACAGCACAGCCACTGGCTGGTTTTTCACATGCACATATGCAGATACACAGGCACACTGACAAGCAGCAGTAGGTAATTATCAATCCCAAAGCCTCACCTACATCATTCTGTGCAAGAATTCGACGAGCGGAACCATCCAGGTTTGCACTCTCAACCACGGATTTCTTAGCATCACACCAGTACACCTTGTCAGCTAAGTAGTCAAGAGCTATTCCACTGGGCCACACCAGACCAGTGCTGGCTATAACCTGGCGATCAATGCCTTCTAATGAAGAGCTGTCAATCCGGGGATTGACCCCCATGTCAGTCCAGAATAATCTCCTTTAGAAAACAAAATGCATACAGGAAGTCAGTAAGCAAATGTTTGTCCTCCTCTCCATGGAGTTCTTTCAAAGCAGAAAGGTCAGATCAGAGCAATACAGGCCTGAAGCACACGAGAAAAATTGCATGCTTCAAGCAAATATATTGGCTGCTGATCTTTTCACACTTGCCATAAGGCTCCAGGTGATTACACTGGGATTTATGCAGAATCCTCAGTCTGTTGGCACAAAACCTTTGAACAACAATTCCTGCTTATGCTAATTGCCAGCTCTTCATATCTGCTTTTTGTGTCTTCCACATGACTGCTGATAGCAGTTTAGCAAACCCAGACAGCAGAAGATGATGCATTAGCCCCCGTTGTCTAAACAAGGGTGTAACAATGAATAAATGGCACCAAAACTACTTGCCACCCATGGAAAGCAAGCAAGAGTCCTCAGGGCTTTTTGTGGTTTTATTTTGATTGTGGGTTTTTTGATGTTGTTTTTTAATAAACCAGTATCAGGCCCAGCCTCTTTTCTTCTTTTCATAAAATCATGATTCTCAGGGTCTCCCTCTAGGGTCCTAAGTGTTACTGGCTGAGTGCATACCATTTTTCAATGAAGACACAGTGCTTGATGGCAGCTCAATATGGGGATAGCCAAAACCACAAATTACTTCTAAAGTTTGGACTCCAGTCTTCCCAGGCAGCAGCTGCCTCTGTCAGGTTTGCTGAAATCACCCACATATTCACTTAGCTTTATTTATTTAAGCAGTTTTGTTGTAGCCAATGCAAGGACCAGCATTTTCAATAGCTTTAGTTGTGTTTCAGATCCCACTTCAATACTGACTTTGCAGTTATGGACATTGTTATAATGTCTGCTCCTCCCTTCACCTTTAACTTTCTAATAAGGAACGTTCTAGTGATGTTTTCCCCTCCCTTTCCCCTTGTAGGGTAGCTTTGCCTCTGCCAATAATTCTAATAGACAAATCTCCCTGAACCTACCTGTTCTTAAATGTTTTCCTGTAGAATGTCTCTATCGCATTCAACCTCTACTGAAAGAAGTTCTTTCAGGTCTTTTATATGTCCAGAGTGAAGCTAACAAAACACCCTCCCCAGCTCTGTTTCATTTCTTGATTTATCGGTACTTAGTTATAGCAGGATATGAGTATTTAAAAAAAAAAAAAAAAAAAAAAAGGATAAAAAAGAAAAAAGCCCAAGAGATTTAAAATTATGCTACTACAGGCATATTGGCTGAAATCCACGTCACTTTGCCATTAATTAAAATGGCCAGAATTTCATCAAGAGTTTAAACATCCCAATCTCCTGTGATCATCTCAGCACTAGGTAAGAAGATATAAGATGCATTTAAATCAACAACCCTCCACAACAGTAAATTTGGTTTAGTTTTCTCAAAAACCGAAACATGGCCAAAAAATCCTTTGTAAGAACCATTGGTTTAAATAACTTAAAAACTACATTCTTCACACAATAGATACAGAACTATCAAAGTTTGTAGTGTGGTGTTTACAACTGTCAGGGTAATTTCAGTTGTTTGTGCATTTCTTTAGCTTAAACAGCATACAATATCTTTTAATGCTTCTGGTAATTTTTTTAAATCCGTAGGAGAAATTAATACATCCCAACTCACTAAAGAAACCCAGCAATAAAACATTGCAGTTCACACAACTCTGCAAGACAATGACTATAATAACATGAGACCAGTGCGCTTTTAGACTGCCAAAAGGGCAAGACTGGCATGCTCATTTTTAAGTATGACACAATTAACCACATTTATCACTCCTTACTTAGCAAATGGGTGAATGGCAATCCCTCGGGGCTGGGAGATATCCTCCCAGATGATCATTTTTCTTTGCATTCCATTCAGATTGCTCTTTTCAATGCATGCCTTCCTGCAACACACACAGCACTGTTAGGTCCTATCTTGTTAATTACCTAACGTACCAAGTTTTTGCATTGGTTTAGTTTAGCACAAAACCTGTAATAAATAACTTTGCAATGACAGAAAATAATCCTCCTGATGTGGGATGTCTAGTAGTTTTATCAACAAGTAATTCATGTCACAGCTTCATTATCTGGTCCAGATGATAAAATACCTGCTGTTCTGCAGGATACGTGAAGTTCTCTTCCTTTGGGCAGATAATGAGTTGAAAGTGATTGCTAATAGATAAATGTTGGCTTTAAAGGGAGTCAGGCAGAAAACTAGTTCCTAACTGAATTATCAAATGTATAAAGACTTTTTAAAATACCACTTTTACATAGAATTTTTCATTCATAAATAGCCAAGCATTTTATCTATTTTACAAGAAAGAATGAAGCTAACGTCCTTATGATAAAAAGGGTTCATAAAATCTATGGCAGAGTCATGTACAGAATATACATTGCCAGTCTCCCAATCCAACTTTTTTTCAGAAAACTGTACTTATTGCTACAAGCTTCACCTTGTCAAACAAATATGAGGCTCTACCTGAAAGCAAGCCTACAGCCTTCCATGCCTTTCTGAACCTGCAAAGAAAGGCCGCACAAAGATGGAAGGAGAAATATATTTGTGCAAATGGGGAATACAAACAAATGCAGCGAGTGAGAAGGAAGTGGCAAATTAAAAATTCACAGCTTCACCCTTGACCTTTCCTTTACAGAGACAAGCACCACAATTTCCCATTTCAGAAGAAGCACTGTCATGTTTATCCAGGAGCGCAATCATGTAGACAAGATTATACATTATAGCAAGGAAGTGGACTAGCAGCATATATAAAAGTGAGAAGGAGTGTGATCTAGACATTCAAACCCACTTTTTATTGACTCATAAGTAATGGGTCGTACTGAAACATGATGACTGCTATTCAAGGAGTCTTCATTATGTGTTCTGATCTCATGTTGCCTTTTCACCAAAGGTCAATTTTGTTTCTCTCTGTATGTAAGGTTAGGTACCAGTTGAAACGTGAAGTCATGTTGTCTGCCAGTGATCCTTCCTCTTTTACTCAAGACAGTTGACAAAGGCTCTCCATTAGCTTAAAGGGGCATGATTGCAGCTGTCAACAATGCTGACTTCTGCCCAAGATGTACTCGGTGCAGTAATACTCAATATTTTTATCTAACTATATATATAAAGGTATACCTAGATATACACACATGCAGTGTATATATAAATACGAGTGTATACATATATATTCACATGCACATGTGCACATATGCGTATGTTTATATGCAGTACATGCCTTAGATTCCTTGCAACTGAGTCCAAACCCTTGCTTCTTGGAAAGACAAAGACAAAAATACAATAGCAGACTCAAAGTAAACTTCCAGCATTTCAGTTTTAAAGAACCTTCCAACTGTATATGCTTGAGATTATAGCTACCCAATCAGAATGTGAACAGCTCCTGAATTTAGAGTGATATCTCAGCTATTTCTGTATCACCAGTCATTTATTCAAAATATTTTATGGCATGCTTCAACATAAATGCACTATGGAGCATGTACCCTCTGTCTGTCCAATACAATTTACGGTTAATCCAGTCCACAGCAAGGCCTTCGGGTATATCTATAGCTTCATGAATAACTTTTTCACGATTTGAGCCATCCAGATTAGCTCGTTCTATCCATTTCAAGGCAGTGTGGGCAAAGTAAATCTGTAAAGAAATAACAGATGAGGTGTTACTAGTTCCCATCTCACTTTCTGCTCCATTTCCTTTGTCTAATAATTCCAATTCTAAAATAACTTTTTCATCTTGAAAGTTCCATGAACTGCTTATTCACAAAAAAGCTGCACAGGTAACCTGTGATCCCTGATCAAATAAAAAGTCACTTATCCTTCAACCAGGATGACTTCTACAGGCAGCTTGTGCTTAGCTGCAAATCCTGTTTGCCCTATATACAAGACCTCAGGATATCTCATGGTCTTGTTTCAGTGAACAACTACCTCACATGAAGCACAGCTGAGGAAGCAAAAGTAGGAGCAGGCAAAAGCACTCATGTTATTTCACTGGCTGCTCATTTTAAAAAGGGAGGAATAGGGAGAAGAGAGTAGTAGTGTGTCAAGGAGCTGGGAAGAGGAAAGGAGTTATATAATTTGTTTCTAATTTTTTTTTCCTCCACCTCTTTCAGCCTGCACTTAATGTTTTATCAGGTCTCTGTTCTGTAAAGCTCTAACATTTCCAGAAGAGGCTTTTCAGTTTTGGGTGAAAATAAAAGCTTTCTGCTGGAGGGGAAACAAAGTTTGCGTTTTCCAAGGATGGAGAAAAAAATTGTCTCGTGTTTGATTCCCAGAGGGAGCCAAATGCTGTTTGGTAGAACCATATGCAAAGTAATGCTGAGGCTTTCTTTGCAAATGGTAATAGCAAAACAAATAACCTTGTTTTGATGCTAACCATGCGGTCAAACAAAGCAGGAGGGTGGCCTCTAGAATTAAACAGCTAATTCAATTACCATGGGAGCGCAGAGCAATGCTGAGCAGTAGCTCACCTTACATCTCATCTCAGTACGACCTGCGTGTCACCTCACCTCCTCAATGCCAACACTGCGGTCATGCAGAGCTCTCTACAGAAGTGGACAACAGTGCACAGCCACTGTCACCGACGCAGATGATTTACATTCAGCACAGCACCCAATAACTGCTAGTTTCCCAGCAGGGCCCTATTTCAGGAGCACGAGGCAATGTTCCAGAAGTGCCTAAAATGATCCTCCTGTAACACAGATCTGATAACATTCCCACTTGTTTAGCTGTGCCCATCCAGGCCTTGAGATGCACCCAGCAACCTAACTGAGCTCCACATCAGCTTCTACTGTACCATCCAGTATACTTTTATAATGCTTTCACAGTGTAAACCAGTCCCACCATGGGAAAAAGAAAAAAAACCAACTATCTATCTGTCTGCCACATAAGATTTAGCAAAGCATGGGTGAACTCCTATTCTTCCCAACTCTGCAGCAAGGAGTAGGGCACTGCGATGCAGCCACACAGACAACTGTTTATGCAGAGGAGGCTCCCATTTCCAACAGCAATATCTTGTAACATGAGGAAAATATTTCATAAGAGCAATAAGTCCAGTGAGTGTTCAGCAGTTTTGTTCAATAATGTCAGGACATGGGAGGTAATTCTTGTTAAGATTACTCCTACATTTAGTAGGGATCGTGGGAGTTAGCTGTACAAAAAAAAAAAAAGATACTGTTGCTTTTATAGCTACCCAGTGAAGAAAAACCCCACAATGTATTTCCAGAAAACAGTACTGAAGTCTTAAGGGAGAAAACTATCAATCACACAGTTCTTTGAAATTTAAATCATGCTTGAAATTAATTTAGAAATCCAAATTCTCTGTGAATTAGCCATGTCAATGTACATTCATCATCAACATTCAATCAGTGAGTAAAGGATGAAACTCTTCAACTAGTGTTTGACATCCTGTACCAGTTGTGCTTCTGGACAGGCAATAGAACAACGAGCAGCACACCGTGCAATCCGATCACTGCCAGCAGAAAGGTTAAGGCACATGAAAGCCCAATCCATTTGTCCTTGCAACACTTCAAAATCCTCTCACTTTTAATGCCTTACCTTATTTTCCACTGGGTCAGAGTCCAGTGCTAAGACTATTCCCATCTGCCAGTCAAGTAAACTTGCATAATCCATGCCATCAAAACTGATCTGGCGGATATCTTGGCCATTTGCAAATAACAAAAATGGCTTAGGACCTGTTGATGAAAACGTGCACATATGTTCATTCCACTAGTTTCAAAGTGATCTGTAGCCTGCGTTACTACCTAGCTAACATTGTAAGTAAGTAACAGTAGCAGACAAAATGAGGAGCAGAAGCACAAAGAAATGAAGCCTCTTGTCCTACATTCCACTGGCCTCAGAAATCAAAGATAAATGTGAATATAGGTTTTCAGCATCAGTGCCTTGCCCAAGATCAGCCTCAAAATTTGTGATAAAGGCAGCCACTAGTCCCTCTGCATTTAACAGAGAGTGACTTAGCCTCAAGACAATCTTCTCTCTGCATTTCACAGCATCACCATAAATGTCAGAACACTTGACTTTCACATATGTGAAGCTTTTCACAGTAAAAGCAAGAAAAATACTGTTTCAAAATAATAAAGCTTTTCCCTTATCCCAGAAACAATCACAAACTTCTCTCTGCTCCTCGCTCTCACGCAATTGGTTATACCTTGCTGTTCACTAGGGTCTGCCCTTTTCTCAGAAGAAACAGACAGGTCTGGAATCCAAAAATCCAAACATGCACGTCAAATACCTGGGCTTCCTGGGGCCAGTGGGGGAGAAATATCCTTGTACTTGTAGGAAAGGTCCTTCAGCAGACTATTCCCTGCCCTGTTCTCCAAATGTAGACAACTCAATCTCAATTCTGTAACAAACGCTGGGCAGAAAATACACCCATATTTATATGAAAGCACAAACCCCTGAATACTGCAGATAGATAGACCTTTGCAGTGCAGGAGCCCAGAGTGAAATGCAGAAGTTAGATAATAGACTGAATCTGCCGTGAGGGAGACTGAACCATATTCTGCTGCTTGTTCTGGTATATTTCCAAAATAGGTTATTTTTCCAAGCAACTAGTATTTCCCAAGTTTCACAAAGTAATCCAAAACTAGTGCAAAAATGGATCCAACCTTCGCAATCCATTTTAAAGGACTCTAAAATGTGTATGCTTTTATTGTTAGAAATTTGCAGGCATACCAAGATACCAACCTATAGCAGTGCAGTGTTTTCTGTCTCGCTGAAGCTTATATCCAGGAAAACAAGCACACTCCCAGGAGGATGGGCTTAAAGAAGAACATATCTGGCTACAGCCACCATTATCTGGAGATGTACAACCTTAAACAGAGCATTGGAAAAATTTAACTTTGCCATTCTAAGAAAAAAATGATGTAAAATCAGAGGTATAAGCAAGAGAACAATTCACTCTGCTCAGGATTTCTACAGTGCAAAGCATCTCAGTGACTGGTAGATTTACTGAAAGACTCCCTGCAGAAAGCAGAAATCTAATGAAGTGAAAGTAAAGCAGTAGTATTTTTCCAGAGTTTTTCCTGAAAATTCACAACAAAAGATTGGGGCGGAGTGGGGTGTGTGGGAAGAGAGGGGGGAAGGGAGCATATACATGAAGGTGGCTTCCATGTCTTCATTATTTCAGAGAACTCCTTCTCCCATGCAAATCTCACCTCATCTACAATAACATAACAATTTTATCAGACTTTGCACTCCATGCAAAGGAAACAGCAAATTAATGCCATTCTCTCCCCAGAAGTTAGTTAGACTAGGAGGATGAATTGATACTTTCTAATACACAAGCCAAGATTTCATACAAAAAGAAACTACTCTTTCTTCTTGGGGCTGTACAATTGTTATAGCCTCAATGCCAGCCTGAGCTTCCTCAGTGGAGTGTCCCTAACAAAACAGCAACACTGACTGAACCTATGTATACAGTACACTCCACAGTATGTAAGGGATGTAAAAGGGAGAGGGGATTTTTCAAGGTGTTTGGCTGGCATTAATGGAGCTATTTTGACCCCTAAGCATGTAAAGATACAATTGAAAAGCTACAGTCCCCTGAATTTGGAAAGCTTGCTGGAATGGCGAATGACAGATTACTGGCTGCAGCATTTTCTAATATTTTGACTGCAAAAATTCCATTTGTGGGTAATCAGACGAACTTGTTGTAAGTTAGAATGACTCTGAACCTGGGTTGCATGATGTCAATAAAGTCATCTTCAGATCTCACCCAAACCGAATACAAATTTTAGATATATCCTGCAACAAACATCTGGGAGCTGCCTTGATCTGCACTGAAAACAAAGGTATTTGGCCTGCAAACATCGGATGTTACTGCTAAGAAACATCTATTAAAAAATGAAGATAGAAATTGTTCATCTCAGCACTCAAAGCGCCTGACATTCCATTGCCTCCTATCTTGTACAATCATTTGCAGTCATGCAAAATGAGTGTAAAAGGCTTTCATTCACTCCTGGCTCTCGGTGCCAAGAATAAACAGAGCTTGGCAGTCAATACAGCTAGAAAAAATGTTACTTACCCGTGCATGCTTTGCCATCCACTTTGAGTACAGATCCTTCAGGACAAAAGCAAACAGGCCCTTTAGATGTTTGAAGGCAACCATGGTTACATTCGGTGTTGTTACTTGTACAGGAAATTAGCTCTACAGTAATTTAAAGGGGAAAAGGATTTTAAATTATAATAAAAATTTTTACAAAGTCCCCCAAAAGAGATGGTAGCACAGAAAAAGCAAGAAAAGAGCAAATAATCAAAGTGTGGTGTTGAGAGTGTAACACTCCTGTGGTCTTTCTGGGGTTTGTTGTGGTTTGTTTTGGTTTTTTCCAATTTTTTTTTCACCCTCTCTGAATTATAGGAAACAAGCAAGACAGAATTGCTGGGTCCTGAAGCCATTATGCTGATGAGCTTTAAATTTTCCAAATTGTATGGGAATGCATTATAAAACTAGAAATAACTTAGAAAACTTTCTTTTTCACATTGCATCAAAAATAGATCAAGTTTTGAAAACTACAAGGAAGTTACACTGAAAGAATACATATAAAACTCAAAGGGACTGGGGAAAAACTACTTTCCTACTACTTCAAGGATAACAGATCTAGAATCAAGAAAAAATGGAGATGAATATTCCAGACATAAAGCTATGTTCCTTAGTAGCAATGGTTAAAGCTGTAAGGGCAAAATCCTCTGAGGACCTGGCAATAGCTTTCCTTTGCTTTCCAATTGTTGGAATGCCAGCATTTTTCTGAGTATTTCTTTAATGCAATTTCACAGGATATGCTCCTTCCACCTTCTGCATCGCAGTGCTGAGCCTCTTTATGGCAATTCTGGTGCCATATGGCAACACCCCTGGAAGACTGGAACAAATACAAGTTTCCCACAGCTGCCGCTTTGAATCAGCTACATACACTGGCTTAAGTGGTGCATAGCTGTTACAAATACTGCTTCTCCATGGCAACTGCACTGTGGACTGGATTGTTCTAACCCCTTAAGCACAGTGAAGAGGGTCAAGAAATTGATCTCATTTTTTTCTGACCAGAGTTTGTGGCTTTAGATGAATAGCTTCGTAAAGGAGTTGGAGTTGGAAGACAAAGCACCAAAATGTCTGGTCAGCATGTGGACTTCTCACCTTGCATCTCTCTTTCTTTCTTTCAAGTTGCGTGGTTGGTGACATATCTGCCTTGTGCTGCAGTAGTTAAGGAGTTATACTGTCCATGCTGCATCCCTAGCCTGTGTCAGAAAAACGTTATTTTCTATCTAATTTGAGCCACTCAAAGTGTAGGCATATAGTTCAAGCTAGTCATCCAGAGTAGGACTGAGTTGCATCGTGTCTAAGTATTGCTTTGGGCACAAAAAGATATCACAACTCCCAACAGCCTCTGGCTGCAGGTCTCCCATAGGTCTTCTGTTACATCTGGCTGCCTTCTGCAGTTGTCACACACACTGTGGACCCCCATGTTTGGGTCACTGAATCCTGCTCTCGGCTCCCTCTTAAATAGAGAGGGAGAAATGACTCTTGGAGGTCTAAGATAGACTGACTGCTAGAGTCTGTTGGATTCTATGGCTGCATTTAGTCTCTGGTAGTGATAATTAATACACCCTAGTTCCTGATCCTGCCATGATCCAGACTGAACTCATTGGTATGCACTGGCACTTCTACTTGGGCCATTTACCGGTGTTTTATTTCCATGGAAACGAGGAAGAAGGATCTTTGTCTGTGCCTATGTTTCACTTCATTGTGAAATAGAAAAGTGACTGGTAATATCCCAAGATCTCAAAATCTGGATGTACATCACATTTTATGTTCTAGAGTTACTTCAGAAAGGCTTAATTCATTTGTAAGTTGAATATACACACTGCTGCACAATGGGGGGAAAAAACCCTCCACCTCTTACTATGCCTAAAATACGGTCCTTAAAGCTTACTGACAGACAAATCTTTGTTTTTTCCCTCCACTTCTCTGTGTTCTCTGCATTTAATTTATTCACACTTATCTAGTTTCAGAGATCTTGCTTTATGTTATACGGATAAGTTCTCTCAGGCATACTTCTTGTACACAGATTAATTCATAAAAGAAAAAAACAAAACAAAACAAAACACACAGATGCAGCAGATCCCCAGAATAAACAATTTTATGAGTACTTCTGTCTGCCTTATTTGCTGTAAACAGATGAACACGCATCTAATTTGCACAGTCTCATTCAGAGACTGTAAATTCTTATGTGGGATAGCCAGAGTAAGCCAAATTCAGAGACCACATGTAGAAAGGTGTAACTGCTTATCCACCTGGAATGTGTCACAGAGCCTAATTAGAGCAAAGAGGTCTCTCTGGAGACCTGGCTCTTCTGTTTTTTTCTTTTTTGCTCCTGAAGAGGCTCACACTTGATCACTCATGTGTAACGTACACTTCCTTAAACATGACGTCTGAATTTGGTTCACTCAGTTTAAGCTGATCCTGCTTACATAACAAGGGATTGGAAGTGAGCAATGCAACACACATAACTTTCAGCAGTTCCAGTATTAATTGAGGACTCTCTCCGATATCATACTGAAAGCGTTAATGTATTTCTGCTACTTACCATGACAAGTTTTCCTATCAGGCAGCAGAACAAAACCTCTCGGGCAGGTGCAGTAATAGGAACCAGGGATGTTCACACAACCCAAAGTACAGCCATGATTCCAGAAGCCACATTCATTGATATCTGACAAAAGAAGCACTTGCTGTGTAAGAATAACATCATAAGCCTGTGTCAAGGAATAGATTAGTGAAACAAACTAACAGTCTTCAAAAAGTACCTCTTTTACTCATTCATTTTACAAATATAAGTTTCTCCTAATAAATGGTATAAAAGCAAGCTTGCAGACCTTATTCAAATAAGCTTTAAAAACCTTCTAGCAAAACCTACTGGGGCTGCATGTGTCCAGCATAGGCTCCGAGAGGATTTTTAAAAGCGTGTTTTCCCATAGAGATTCCAGTGCCAGTTAAATACTATTTACAGCAGAAAAAATTTACATTAGACACATTCTTTAGACAAAAAATTATTCTAAAAAATTTGGCTCCAACATAACTTAAGTAAAATTCTCAAAACCCAAGAGGAGTTTACAAGTTGAGACTCAGAAAGCAATCCTGGTGAGTTTCCTGAGAACTGGATGGATGCTGCTCAGGCAGGTCTTCGAACCCTGTAAACTAGGAATTTTGATATCGTTATGTCTTTTTAAATCTGATCACATTATGAAAGAGGTGCTTCCAAAAGTGATTAATGAAAATATCTATTATTAATATATAAATAATATATTAATATATAAATAAAATA